AAAAACCCCCCCCCCCCGAAACTGATTCAGCGAAAGCATATATATTTATTTATTCATTACTTTTTGTTAAAATATTTGTTTTCAGCTCTACTGTTATTTTTTTCAGTTCATTTCTATTATTTGTATTTTTCTGCTTGCATTTTTGTCAAAATTGTTATTATTATTATTATTATTATTATAGCATAAATCTTACAGTGAACTGAATTTCATCTGAGAGTGTCTTCCGCGTCTGTGTTTGATGAAGTTACGCAACTCTGTTGAGACTTTCCTGACTGGGAACTTCTTGAAGCAACTGAGTTTCACTTTTAATTTCTTTTAATTTCCCTTATTTCGAGAACAGCACGGAATTTTTAATCAGCACTGTATCGTTTAAAATACAAATACGAACACGAAGAGCGTTTTAAATACTTCTCTCCTATGGTTGGTAAGTTTATTTCCTCATATTTCACTGTCTCTGCTGTTGTGCTGAACGAGCGCTTGTTACATGTTTGATTAGCTGGTTTAGTTGGTTAACATTGGTTGGTTACATAAAGGCTAACATACGTAGTACACTTTTATGTATTTCTTTTGTGTAAGTTCTATTATGATTTAATTAAAACTTACATTAGCAAAAGTACCTTGCTGATGGAATGTTTTTTTTTTTTACATTTCTGAGTATAGTACCATGGTATTCTGGAGTAGCCGTGGAGTAAAATACCACGGTATACGAGTATGGTAACCATTCAGTACCCTTGCGTATATAAAAATACCATGGTACGACCACAGTACTTTTTTTGGAAGGGAATTCAATATCTACAAAAAATATCATGGTATTGCTAATTGTTTTGCACATATACATTTGTATAATATAATATAATAATACTTAAAATATTTTATTATTTATAAATATATTAAATGCATAACTATTTAAAAGAATTGTTGCTTGAACTATGGTATTGCTAGGTTTTTTTGTATATACTATAATTTGCTATATTTTTAGACATTTACTATAATATATATTTGCATATAATGTAATGCAAATGTTATATTTAATACTTGTTGTAATAAAGTAAAAAAATATATATTTATTTTAATAAATATTTGAATATAATAACTATTCATGTAAACAATTGTTACATAAACCATGGTATCTTTTATACAATAATGTTAAATATAAACGAATGTTTATATTGAAAATTTATTTTAATGAATAAAATAAATAAATAGTTATATTTATTTAATTTTTAATATTCAGTTTTTTAAATATTAAAAAGAATATAAAATAGAAATATTTATATTAAAATAATATTTTTTTATTTTTATTTTGTGTGTGTGTGTGTATTTTTATTTTTTTTAAAGCTTTCAAGGTAAAAGTATGGCTGCCCTAGATTCCTCTAGAAATATAAAAGAAGGTGAGTGTTAGTAAATGCATTATGCAATAAATGTATACATCAAAAGACACATTTTCCACACAGCAACGTGTATTATGTTAACATCACATCTTTGCTGTCCCAGCCGAGGATGCAGCTCGAATGCTGAGTGACGCCATCAACTCTAGAGACAAAGATGAAGCGACCAAATACCTGGATCAACTTTTGGATCTAAAACTCCCAGTGTGTGTCAAAATAAATCCTGAAGCGTACTCTCAAGACTGCATCAGGTATGCTGTTAGACTGGTTTTACTGCGGCGAGAAACACATGTTGCTGGGGATCTGTAACTATATGTGATTTTTTTGTTTGTTTTTTGTTTTGCTTTGTGTGATGGCAGGTTGAGAGTAGGAGTGGCGGACGTCGTGTCAGATGCCCACATCCCAATTACAGTGATGGTACCAGTTTACATGACAATATCAGAGCTGAAAGAAAAGGTACACAGTGTTAGTGATGGACCTGAGAATGAAAATTCTTGTTTGAAATGGAAACCCAAAATTACACATTTACTGGAGCCCTCATTTACTTTTTAGGTATTCAAAATTTGTCTTTCAGATCAATCGTGACTATGACTTCCACCCGGCCCTCCAGCGCTGGGTGATCGGGAAGCGCCTCGCCCAGGACAGAGAAACCCTGTATCATTATGGGGTCAGAAGCCACAATGATTCAGCCTTCCTCTTCATCCTTTCCGCCCAGGCTGCCAATCTGAGCCGCGAACAAGAGAGAAAAGAGAAAGAGGATAGACGGATCGATGGTATCTAGCCTGTATTTTTGATTTTAAAAAATAACAGCTTGTATATCAGTTTACTGAACCGCATTTCTTTCTTACTGAAGATATAATCGAGATCATTGATCGTCCACCTCATCGCCCACCAGAGCTCGTCGCCAGAGGAGTTAATCACCCTCCTCTACCTCCCAAACCTCAGGTCTGTCGTTCTATCACTCTATCTGTTGTTCAATCTGTTGCTCTATCTATCGCTTTTTGTCACTATCTGCAGCTCTCATTTAGTCTGTCTATCTCTCTGTCATTTTATTACTTGTTCTATCTGTAGCTCTATCGTTCAATCTGTTGTTCTATTTGTCTCTATATCTATCATTCTGTTGTTCTGTCATTCTATCCATCGTTTTGTCGTTTTATTTGTAGCTCTATCTGTTATTCTATCTGTCGCTCTGTCTATGGTTCTGGCACTCTATATCTGTCACATTATCTATCATTCTTTCTGCCGCTCCATCATTCTGTTTGTTGTCATTCTGTCTGTATCTCTAGCTATCATTCTATCGGTCGCTCTATCGTTCTATCTTTCATTCTATCTGTCACTCTATCCCTCACTCTATCTTTCATCTGTTCATTAATCTGTTGCTATGTTTATATCGCTTTATCTGTCACTTTATCTATCGTTCTCTGTTGCTCTGTCATTCTATCTGTAGCTCTATCTATTTTTTGTCATTTTATCTGTCGCTCTATGGTTCTGATGCTCTATCTGTCACGTTATCTATCATTCTATTTGTCGCTCTATCATTCTGTCTATAGCTCGATCTATCATTCTATCTGTCGCTCTATCTAAGTTTCTACCACTTTATCTATCAATTTATCTATTGTTCTTTGTCGCTGTAGCTATCATTCTATCTGTTGCTCTTTCTATGATTCTGACACTCTTGTTTTATTCGTTGTTCTTTCATTCTGTCGCTCTGTTATTCTATCTTTCATTCTATCTGTCGCTCTATCATTCTGTCTATAGCTCGATCTATCATTCTATCTGTCGCTTTATCCGTTTCTATCACTTTATCTGTCACTTTATCTATTGTTCTCTGTCACTCTACCTCTCATTTTATCTGTTGCTCTTTCTGTGGTTCTGATGCTCTATCTGTCACCTTAACTATCGTTCTTTCTGTTGCTCTATCATTCTATTTGTTGTTCCATCATTCTGTCGCTCTGTTATTCTATCTTTCTCTGTCCCTCTATCTATCATTCTATCTGTTGCTCTATCTAGTTTCTATCGCTTTATTCTGTCACTTTAACTATCGTTCTGTCTGTTGCTCTATCATTCTATTTGTTGTTCCATCATTCTGTTGCTCTGTTATTCTTTCATTCTATCTTTCTCTTTATCTGTCACTCTATCTATCATTCTATTTGTCGCTCAATCATTCTGTCTATAGCTCGATCTATCATTCTATCTGTCGCTCTAAGTTTCTACCACTTTTTCTGTCAATTTATCTATTGTTCTTTGTCGCTGTAGCTATCATTCTATCTGTTGCTCTTTCTATGATTCTGACACTATCTGTCACTCTATTATTTTATTCATTGTTCTTTCATTCTGTCGCTCTGTTATTCTGTCTTTCATTCTATCTGTCGCTTTATCCGTTTCTATCACTTTATCTGTCACTTTATCTATTGTTCTCTGTCACTCTACCTCTCATTTTATCTGTTGCTCTTTCTGTGGTTCTGATGCTCTATCTGTCACCTTAACTATCATTCTTTCTGTTGCTCTATCATTCTATTTGTTGTTCCATCATTCTGTTGCTCTGTTATTCTATCTTTCTCTTTATCTGTCCCTCTATCTATCGTTCTCTCTCTCTATCTAGTTTCTATCGCTTTATTCTGTCACTTTAACTATCGTTCTGTCTGTTGCTCTATCATTCTATTTGTTGTTCCATCATTCTGTTGCTCTGTTATTCTTTCATTCTATCTTTCTCTTTATCTGTCACTCTATCTATCATTCTATTTGTTGCTCTATCATTGTCACTTTGTTTGTTGCTCTGTCTTCTATCTGTCGCTCTATCTAGGTTTCTGTTGCTTTATCTGTCACTTTATATATCATTTTCTGTCACTCTATCTATCATTCTACCTTTCACTGTTCTGTGCACTCTATCATTCTATATGTTGCTGTCTGTAGCTGTATTGTTCTATCTATCGCTTTATCTTATGTTCTATCTGCCACTCTATCTATCTATCTATCTATCTATCTATCTATCGTAATTATAATCATTTTATTTGCTTTTATAGCCAGTTGGTTGGTCATGTTCTGGCTGCACGTTTATGAATAAACCAACACGTCCAGGTTGTGAGATGTGCAGCACAGCAAGACCTGACAACTATAAAGTACCTGACATGTACCAGCCGGATGAGGTGGAAACCAGGAGACTCCAGCAGGAGGAACTCGCCAGCCTGCAGTACGAGCAGGTTAGCTGAGGGGACCCAACGTACTGGACTACAGTGAACTGTTAGATTGGACTGTGGGATGAAAACCCCTCAAAAAACATTAAGTTTACATTTGTGGATTATGAAAGTGCCTAACGATATGCCTGCACCTGCAAAGCTTTACTGTTTAAAAAGATGAATGGAAAGTGAAAATGGGAAACATTCAGAGAGTCTTCATATGGATTTACCTTGCATCACAGAATGAAATGCAAAAAAGTTTCTCATTTGTTGTTAACTGAAAAAGTGATCAAAAACGAATGTTTTAATAATTGAAGCAAACTTTAATTTTATACAGTCATGAATAAAAAAAAGGGGGATTGCTATTGTTTTTTTTTAATTAGGCATTTATATTTACCAATATGATGAAATGCTAATTATTATATAATTATTATTAATAATGAATAATAGTAATCATCATAATTATATAATAATTAAATGATTGTAATTATAAATACTTGTATTAACTATTAATATTAGTTAAATATTTTATTTAAGAAATAATAATTACATTTTTAGATTCCTATTAGATATTGTGTCATTTATATATCATGTACATGTTGTATATATATATATATATTGTGTAACTTATAAATTATATACAACTTTTTCCTCTAGGATACATTTAAATGTTTTCGATTTTTAGAGGATTTTATTAGCATCTTTTAGGATTGGGTCCACATTATGATTTTCAGCATTTTTACAACAGCATCTTTTCCTGATTTGGTCTGTTGTTATTAAAACCAGAATATAACGCATGTTGCCTGTCCGTTTATTTACGTAGTCTGTGAAGGATGAACGGGAGAGGAATTTCCAAGAACTCCTTGAAACGGATTCCCACAGTCTGGTGGGGAACGTGGAAGATCTGGACTGTGCCATCTGCTTTTGCACCATCCTGCCAGGAGAGGGCGCTGTGCTGAGAGAGTGCCTGCATAGCTTCTGCAGGTGCTGTGAGATTGTTTATCAGTTACTTTAAACAGGTAGTGGTGAAACAGACTGAAATACAACTTTGTATATCCTACAGGGAATGTCTGAAGGAAACCGTTCTGAACTGCACGGATGCCGAGGTGGCTTGTCCTTACAGAGACAATGCCTATTCCTGTAACTGCAAACTTCAAGATCGAGAAATCAGATCAGTAAGATCAAAAATGCAGTATGATTTAATTATTGCAGTTACCCGTTCACTTAACTTTACTGTTTCCCACCAGCTTCTCTCTCAGGACGAGTACCAGAAGTTTCTAGAACTGATGCTGAACATCGCAGAGTCCCGCAGTGAGAACAGTTACCACTGCAAGACACCCGACTGCGCTGGCTGGTGCATCTTCGAAGATGACGTGAACGAATTCACATGTGACATTTGCAACGAGACCAACTGTCTCCTATGCAAGGTGAACACAAAGTTTGTTGGTGTCTTGTTCACATCAAATTCTAAAAGTGCATGTTATGGTGACCTAAAGGACTGTGCATGTGCGTGTGTCAAGGCTATTCACACGGGAATGAACTGCAAGGAGTACCAGGATGACCTCCGTATTCGAGCGCAGAATGACGACGCAGCCCGGCAGACCACGCAGATGCTGGATGTAAGTGGAAAATGAACTAGCTCAACTTTTCCCGCTAATATTTGAAGTTATTGCCATTGTGAAACAGCACCCTCTAGGGGTGGGAATTGTAAAGAATTTCCTCACCGGAATTGCAGTCGTTTTAATGGTTCCACTAACGAATAAGGAAATGCAATTGCATTGTGAAAGTTAAGATCATTTTAATAATAAGTAAATGTACAATAATTAGTTTGTTTGGGATTTGGACGACACTGGTTATGCTGTATGTGTTCGATCGACTAAAAAGAGCCGATTCGTAAGAGTAATTTGTTCAGGAATCAGACTACACTGGCCGTGCTGTCTGTGTTTGATTCACTAAAAAGAAACGATTCATAAGAGTCACTTGTTCGGGAATCAGACTACATTGGTCGTGCTGTATGCGTTTTATTTCCCAAATAAAACAGCAGATTCAAAAGAGTCATTTGTTGGAGGTTCAGACTACATTGGTCATGCTGTATGTATTCAATTCACTAAAAAGAGCCGATTTGTAGAGAGACATTCGTTTGGGAATTAGTCATTTGGTTGAGGATCACACTACACTGGTTTGATTCACTGCAAAAAGAGACGATTCATAAGAGTAATCTCTTTGCAAATCAGACCACAATGGTCACACTGTACATGTTTGATTCACTAAAACAGTCTGATTCAAAAGAGTCACCTGTTCAGGAATCATACCACATTGGTCACACTGTATGTGCCTGATTCAAGAGTTGATTTATAAGAGTCATTTGTTTGGGAATCAGACTGCATTGGTCGTGCTGTATGTGCTTGATTCTCTACAAAGATCTGATTAGTAAGAGTCATTTGTTCAGGTACACCTTATGTTTTCAAATACACTAAAAAAAAAAGAATCAACTTTAAAATATTTGTTACCTATTGAGCGGTTTCGCTTCCAGCAACTCCTGAAGAACGGCGAGGCGATGAACTGTCCCAAATGTCAGGTGATCGTCCAGAAGAAAGACGGCTGTGACTGGATCTGCTGTCTGATGTGCAAGACCGAGATCTGCTGGGTGACTAAACAAGCCCGATGGGGAACTCAGGTTAGACACAAAAGTGTATAAATCATTAGTTCAGTGATTCACAAACATCAATTGGCTAATCTGGACCTGGTTTTGTCTCCTCAGGGTGCTGGAGACACATCGGGCGGTTGCAAATGTCAAGTCAACGGAGTCCTCTGCCATCCGCGCTGTCAGAACTGCCACTGATTCCACAAGCAAAAACATGCGCTACAGCAACAAAACACTTACAAAACTCCTCAAAATAATCCAGGCGGGGTTGATGCGCTACATACAGTTTGCAATTATAGCTTTTGCTCAGTCTAGTCGTATCACTGGCACATTCATCTGGATGTCAGTACTTAATAGATATGTTCTAGGACTAAATATTCAGATAGTGTTTACAAAATTAAAAATATCCGAGGTTTCATGGGATAGTATAAACTGATGAAAAAGTGACATTTTTTAAATATACGTCAAACTGTCTTAAATCACTACTGGCAAGCTGATGCTCTGGGACTTTGTGCAATGATATTGTAAGAGGAAAGCATTATTGTGTAAGAATATAGATTTTTTTAAAGGCAATTTTTGTGTGTGTAAGATCATTGCTAAATATGCAATATGGAACAATGAAGGAACAAATCACATCAAAGAAGAAAACTACATTAAATATTAATTTAAAAGCAGAAGAAATGCAGCAAATGGAATAGAATGTAATCAAATGCGTAATTTCACTTTTTATGATGAACAAAAAATGCTCAATTATTATAATTACTGATATATCAAAATTAATACTGAAAAAAACAATATTTTAATAATTAGACTACAGGTTTTTCCCCATATTGCATTTTTTAACATGTAGAAGCATTTTCATTCTGTTGACAATATTCTCTTGTTTACAAAATTGTATGATTCGATAAAGCTGGAATACAATTTTTTTTCTGTTTTTCTTTTTTTAAAAAGAGACCTTTAACTAACCTCTTAAAATAAATAATAATTCACAAAAAAGCAAGTGCAGATTTCATCAAAAAGAACAAGTCTTTTTTACTCAAATCATTTTACGTTTCGTTTTATTTAAACATATTTAGCAACATGGTCAAATGTGACATTAACATGAGCGAACCAGAGACAACTTATGACAATCTCTCAAAGTGCAAAAAATAAGCAAGAAGCGCGTTCTTTAGTGCAAAATTTATGCAAAATAAAAGCATAAACAGTAGTTTTGTGTGGATGGCAGCGTGTTATTTCAATAAATCATGATTCACCGATGTTTTCAACCAAGCAGTGTTAGAATCCTGAAAAATATCCAGTTGGATGTTACTCGAAGCTTAGATGTTGTTTAGTGGAAACGATCAGTTGTGAACAGCATTTAAACAACAAAAATAACAATGTGCCATGATTCAACACTGATCTGGAGTTCAATTAGAGCAACTACTTCTTTCACATTCACCGTTTACACACTCCAGAATCAAGGAATCTCAAGTTTGTTGATCAGCTGAAGTTATTCAGAAGTGGTTTCAGTTCCAGCTCTGAGATTCTTGAAAACTGCATGTTATGTACTAAGATCAGCACTTATCACTAAACATACTGTAATTAAGGTGATTCGGAGAGAGAGTGAAAAACCTGCAATGTAGTGGAAAAAATAACCTCAAAAAACATTAACATACAAATTACGAACATAATAAAAAGTTGGTTCGTTCACTGCTTTTGTAAATTGTTTCTTTCTTTATTTTACACACACTTAACAAATGAGATTCGTACCCATAAGGGGTCCTGGACCAATCAGATTACATTTCTAATTCTACAAACAAGTTTTCTAAAATTATTTTGGTCTCAATGTTAGCAAAGAACAATAAAGTACATGGTGTCTTAATCATGAACCACAAGCTGAGCAAATTTCTGAAAAAGCCATTCTTGTGAAATTGGTTGATTTGTGAAAATTTACATAAGAATGGATTTAGAATGGTTGTTTTTGTTTGAATGTTGTTTTTGTATGTGAATTTCAAACATAAATTGTCATAAAAAGGAAAAAGTTTCACAAAGGACTTGACAACTTTCATAAAAGCATACTTACGCAAACTGCTATTCAATTTGGTTTGACAATTTATGGGAAAAATGTTTTTCAAACATTGTGTTGTTTTTGTGCATGAATTTTAAAACAAAAACTCCTTTAAACTATTGTATGTACATAGTTCATAAAAACATTCTTATGTAAACTGTTTGCATTCAAAACAAAAATTCATATTCATTGCGCTTGCATTCAATTTAGTAAAAAATGTATTATGAGCAATGCACATGAATGACTGTCGTTATGTACATAGTTCGTAAAATCATTCTTAAATTGTTGCAGTCAATTTAATATGACAATTTACTTAAGAACAGATGTTTTGTACATGAATTTTGTATCATTATGTACATGATATGTCAAGGCATTCTTATGTAAATTGTCACATTCACTTAAATTTCACAACTTTGTCAAAACTAAAACTTTGTTATTTTTATATGTTAGGGTTAGGGTTACATTTCAAAACAAAAACTCTTAAACTATCATTACTAAATGGTTAATATCAATTCAATGTGACAATTTACAAAAAAAAAACGTTTACAAACAATGAACATGAATTTTAAAAGGAATAGTTCCCCCCAAAATGAAAATTTGCAGAAATTTTACTCACCCTCTGGCTATTCAAGATGTAGATGTGTTTGTTTCTCCATCAGAACAGATTTGGAGAAATGCAGCATTACATCACTTGCTCAGCAATGGATCCTCTGCAGTGAATGGGTGCCGTCAGAATGAGAGTCCAAACAGCTGATAAAAACATCACAATAAAGATTTTTTAACTTGCTTCTTGCCAAAATGAGTCCATAGTGATGCTTCCTCCAGTGAAAATGTCCATCTCCTGTTGCCCTCCCACATCAAAATCCACCAACATATTTGTTTAGAGCTGCTTTGGACTGTTTTTCCTTCTACAAGTGCTTGATCTGTGCATATTTTGCTCCTGATTCAGACGAGACGACTTACACACTGGAGAAAGCAATATTATGGATAGAGGACTTGTATTTTGAAGTTAAAAATCTCTTAATGATGGGTTTCTTTCTTTCAAACATGCAGCTTTTTCTCTTCACAAGACATTAACTGATGGACTGGAGTGGCAAAGCTTTTGGCTTCTCTCCTGAAGCCACAAGAGGGCGCATCGAGCAAAATATTACACGTTTATTCAAAGCATAAGATAACATGACTATCTGCAGAAAAAAAAGTGCATAATGTTTAATGGATAGACTAACAAAAACATTATAATGCAACGACACTTACATCGTTATCGCATCTCGTGCGCCGCTGATAAGGCTGCCTCCTTAACGTACACCTAAAATTCGAATGCAATGTGGATTTTTATTTTAAATTCGACGAATATTCGAAATTCGAATTTGTTTTTGACAGCCCTAGTGGTTTGTGGGACATGTTCGTTGTGAGAAAAACATTCGGGCAGATAGACTTACAGCTGACTGCGCTCTCTGGCCAGCTCAGACGGGGGGAACTGAACGAACAGATCTCCTGCGCGGCTGATCAGCGTCTCGTACGGCAGGTCTTCTGGGATACGGGACAGGAGATGGTGCATCATGGCCATGTCACACTCACAGTCCAACACCTCCTCCTCTCGATGCAACACGATCTGCAAAGAGAAAACCACGCTTGTTTTGAAATGGAGTCGGACTGTGCTTGTGTGTTTGGATTTCTACTAAATCTTATAATGTATATGGATAATGTAAAATCTCTCAATTTTCTTTATCCGTGGTCTAATGTGAAAAATCTCACTATCAGGTCACTTTAAACATTTTTAATGGTAGTATTAAAGGGTTAAAAACAAGTACGACTATTGTGTAACTGTACTGTAAAAACATTTAATTTATGTTTACAGTTTACTTCACAATTTAAATATATCAAATATATTTATTTTATATATATTTAAAATATAATCTAATTTTATGTGAGTACTGGAAAATATTTAATAAGAATAATATTTTTGCATTATGGTAATGACAATGAAATTGATAAATTATTAAAAAATATCAAATTTTTAGTAGATATTTTAGATTTTTTCTTTTTTGCATATTGCTACTGGCAATATTTAAAAAAATTAAATAAAACCCAATTTTGTTACGTAATGACAATGATTTTTGTAAATATTAAAACAATATCTCATTTTATGCTATGGTAATGACAATGAGATTTTTTTAAATAAACAATATTTTGTTTTAAGTTACAATAATGACAATGAGACAATTGAATTTTTTCATTACAGTAGGCTACTGACAATTATGACGAAAATGTACAACAAACACAATAGTACAACAAAAATGAAAGTAATAATTGTGAAAATAATGTCACCATGCACAAAATCTTAATGGTCCTAAAATAGGCCGTTTCATTTTCTTTATGCAAAATACCTTTTTTTTCAGGTGTGAAATTCACTTTATATAAAGCTATTAGTATTTAGTCCCTGACCTACTTCTTGTCAAACATCAAAACTCCAGGTTTATGGAGACTGCAGGAGGCAGAACACAGTACTTTACTGTTCAAAAGACAAATAGTGTCGACATGACAGAATGTGTCAATTATTTATTCCGACTGAACAACACAGCCTGATTCAGCCCTAAAAACAGCTGCTACTGCGGCGGCAGTGAAACTGCTGACCCACATCTGCTGAACATCAGAGACTCAAAGATTCAGAAGATGGTTTTGAGGACTACAAATGGAAACGTACCACAGCAGCAAAGTAGATGGGCATGAGGGGATGGCAGGCCAGGAAGAAGTCGTACAACCGAACCACATGACGGAAATCTGACAGTACGTGTCCGAACCAGGTGATGAGCCAGCTGAGAGCGAAAATGGTGCCGACCTCGGCTCTGCAGACAAAATAAAGACACTTATCTCAAATTATACAAGTCAATAAAGAAGGTTTGTCATCATTCTTTCAGGAGATGCTTTTAAAGTTATATAATGATGAATGAGGAAAACAAATCAATCAAACCACTGAGCTTCAACACAGACAAACATACAAACCAAACACATCAAATCACAGAAAATGGGCGTCTACTCACTGCTGCATGAAGTCGTACACTTCAGGGTTGACCCTCTCGATTATGGGCATCAGGTAGTTCAGGATGTGTTTGGTGTTGTCCATAGTGGGGTCCATAAAGTCCCTGTAATGTAGGTTAGATGGATGAAAAATATCTACTAGACATTAAAACAAAAAATTATTTCAAGATAATGTTTTGTCTTTTCTATAATACAGTAACTGAAAATTGTTTTTATTCCCCCCCCCCCATTTATTTTCAGAATTAATGCCCATATAAGAAATGTATAAATATTTTAAAACGTAAATAGAATTTAATTATATTAATATTTAATAATAATAATAACAACATATAATAATAATATATTTTTACAGTGATGGGATTTTTTAAATTTTGAACATAAATGAAAAATGTATTGAAATAATGAAACTAATTCAATTACATTTAATATATTATATGCACATTACATTTTATAATAATAATGATATGTATTTGTCACATTACAGTAATGAGAATGAGATTTCTTTGTTGAAGGTCATTGTGCTTGATCTTGAAAAAAAATATATAAATGTTTTAAGATTGGCTAAACCACAGTTTGAGCTCAATTGAGAGGCTATTATTGAAGAGGATCGTGCAGAACCTGTGCAAGCACGGCTTTTAATGGTTACGGCTATGTTTTTTATTTGTTGTGGTCTCATATTTTTAGATATGCTGTTATTTGTAAATGCTACTGCTTATGCAGAATCGCGATTCATATATGAATAGATTTTTACGTGCTCCTCTAGTTTTCTCTTCCTCTTCTCTACAGCAGCGCAGCATGGCCTCGCCCCCTTTTCTGCCTTTTACTGAGGGCGGGGTTTATCTGGGTTTGTGATGTCACGAACCTAGTAAGTAACTCGTTGTAGTCCCTACCAGCCGTTTTTGTAGGCATTAAACTGCCAGAATTTTAAAAGATGATATCTCCATTTGCATTGAACTTCGTAACTTTGCAGATATTGTTTATGCTCAAACAGCAACATTACACACTAACTAACGTTAAAAAAGTGAAATTGCAATCAACCACCCCTTTAAACAATACTGAATAAAATTAAAATGCAAATTTTTATTGGCGAGAATAGCGCTTGATTAACCTGAACATAATTTCAGAATGAATAAAAATCAGCAAAAATTTATACAAATAAATTAATAAATACATCCTGCGTCTGTGTTTTGGTAAAGTGTCCCAAACACGCTCTTGCCGTGTTTGTTTTCTGCTGCTGGCCCACCTGAGGTGGTGAGTGGAGAGTTTCTCCACCAGGGCAGTGGCGAGTCGTTCCTCCAGCACCAGCAGGAAGGTCACCACGATGTCATGGTAACCCTGGTAATAGTGCAGCTGTGGGTTTTTCACCAGCACCCACAGAATAATATCGATCAGCTCTTCCTGAAGGCCTTCCCGCTGCTCGTCTGGCATCCCTGCGTTCATTAAACACCGCAAACAAACAGAGAGCAGCTTAGACATGAACCGAGACCAGCTGAGGGTCCTGAAGAAGCAGCGGAGGTCCGTTCTGCTCACCTGGAGGGAAGCGCCTGAGGGATCTCTGAACATCTAGAAGCACTTGGTTGAAGTCCTTGTTATTGTCTCGATCGACCGGCTCTGGAAATAAACACTGGATGTACATCTACAGTACATGGCTTTCATGAAGTGCATTTCCATGGATTTCATTACCTAGTTGTTCAGGCATGTTGCTTTATTCCCCCTTTATCAGCATAAATTAAGGCATATACAAGAAATGTTTAAATAAAAGATGTGCATTAATATTTTAAAATGTAAATATTATAATTAATTTATACTTAACAAATTATATGTACATTTAATAATAATTAATAATAACAATTAATAATAATAATAATAATGGATAAAATATATATTTTTCACATTACAGATGAGAATGAGATTTTTTGTTGTTGAAAGTAATTGCACTTGATTATCTTGAACATAAATAAAAGATGTACAAATATTTTAAAATGTAAATAATTAATGCAAATTACATTATGATATGTATATTATATTTAATAATAATAATATATTTTTTCACATTACAATGATGAGAATAATAATTTTGGTTACGGTAACTGTGCTTAATTATCTTCAACATTAAAAGATGTATGAATAACTTCAAATGTAAATAATTAATGCAAATTACATTATGATATGTATATTATATTTAATAATAATAATATATTTTTTCACATTACAATGATGAGAATAATAATTTTGGTTACGGTAACTGTGCTTAATTATCTTCAACATTAAAAGATGTATGAATAACTTCAAATGTAAATAATTAATGCAAATTACATTATGATATGTATATTATATTTAATAATAATAATATATTTTTTCACATTACAGTGATGAGAATACGAATTTTGGTTACGGTAACTGCGCTTAATTATCTTCAACATTAAAAGATGTATAATTATTTAAAAATGTAAATAAAAAATATAAATTAAATGATATTTCATAAAATACATGTAGATTATATTTCATAATTAAATAACAATAATAATATATTTTCAATATAATGAGTGAATCAACAGAATGAGTGAATTATGCTAGATTATCTTGAACAAAAGATGTATAATTATTTAAAAATGTAAATAAAAAATATAAATTAAATGATATTTCATAAAATACATGTAGATTATATTTCATAATTAAATAACAATAATAATATATTTTCAATATAATGAGTGAATCAACAGAATGAGTGAATTATGCTAGATTATCTTGAACATAAAATGTATAAATATTTAAAAATGTAAATAATATTTAATATAATTGAAGTACATTTAATAAATTATATGTATAAATATTTCAGAAATGTATAAATATTTTAAATGTTAATACATAATAATATAATTAAATTATATATAATAAATTATATGTAGATTATATTTTTTGTAATTTATCATTTAATTATAACAACAACAATAATAATATATTTTTCACATTACAGTGTGAGAGAATGAAAAATAATGTTTTAGTTGAAATCGCTTTAAATTATATTTATGTTTTGTTTTGATTTGTTCTCAGCATCTCAGAAAGTCAGCTTCCTGTGGTTTGATGTGGTTCTTACCCAGCTGTTCAGGTATGTTTTCTACAGACACGTTGAGCAGTCTGGGCCACACCTGCCGGCGGATCTCGTCGCTCAGCAGACCTCCTTCACTGATGGCCATGCGTCTCAGAGCGGCCACATCCACCGGCGTCGTGTTCAGGGCCTGCGTGATCTCCGCCACCTTCCTCTTCCGTCTGGACTCAGCATCTGCCAACATGATGACTGCGGTCAGCACCTGAACACTGAACACGCCGTCACTGATGTTTAACGCACTCCAGCAGAAAAGTTTGCTGGAAATGGAGAAGTTGACTAAGATCTTTCCCCTTTCCCCTTCATTTGCGCAAGTGTTTTTGTCTAAACAGCTGTTCCCAGAGGGACGGCGCATTTAAAAGACTTGATTTTGTTTTGAAAGGGAACTATTTTTCTCTGGCACACAAAATACACTCACGTGCCAAACATCTGAAGCAGTTTGTGTTAGTACTGTGACAGTTTTACAGTACACAATGAGTGCAGATATCTTATGCACAATCAATTCTTCAAAAGTGTTATGATATATATATATATATATATATATACACACATATATATACACACACACATATAAAAATTTACAATTTATAATGTGTAATTTATACATCTACATGTATAATTGTATAATTGACATATCTACATATAATTTATATTAATGTAATAACTGTATTTTTTTTTTACATTTATCTATCCATACAGAGAGATATTCATTTATATGCATTCTTTTTTTATTTATATACATTTATTCATTTCTAAAATCCCCACATTTCTATCTGTATAACTAAATTATATGTATATATAAATCTATAGATATAAATTACACATTATATATACACACACACACTATATTTCTTTATAGCTAGATAGATATTGAATTTATTGAAAGGATAGCCCCTTGAGATGTGACATCTCATTTTCAAGGGGGTCCAGAAACAAAAAACTAAATATTTCAACATAAACAAAACAACCATACAAAACATGTACGCAACGCATACACAAACTAGAAGACATGCTCAAATAATCCCCCACACCCACATATTTTCAGTATTATATGTACCGGTATATATAAATCTAAATCAATATAAATATATAGATATATAAATTATACATGTGTGTGTGTGCGTGCACATATATATGCAAATAGACAACTACAGTTATTATTATATATATTTATTTATAGCAAGTTACATAAAGATGTTAATTTATATATATTATTTATTTATTTATACTTATCCATTTCTAAAATCCACTAAAAAAATATAATACTGTGTGTGTATATATAATACTATACACACACACACACAGTAAATACTCTTAGATGTATTTATTTATATATATATATGTGTGTGTATGTGTATATAAATATTCTTATATTTATATTTTGTCTATCTGACAAATATTCTTATATCTTCTTATGTTATATCTATTTATATATAGCACAAATTAAAACCCCCTTATTTCAATCACATAAAGTATCCATCAAACTCTAAATTTACTTTGGTAAAAGCTGTAATATTTAATCGAGCGTTCACTTATCGACCGGTAAAGTGGAGCAGTAAAATCTCTCATCATGTCATAAATGAACTCTTCAATAAAACACACCTTGTTTTCCGAGTCCATTGAGCGGGGAAGCAGCTCCGACACTCCGAGACTTCTTCAGATTCATGCTGTCGCTAATATCTGTCTTCAGATCCAGCTACATCATTTTCTCTCACTGAAATGCGAACAGCTGATGGGCTTCTACTACTTTAGCTTGACAGCTAAAGGCCACATCCTCTCCTTCAGGCCCGCGTTAGCTGGATAAACTCATGGCACATGAACCTCATCTGTCGCTCCGGTCGGTTTCACTCATGCCAAGGGTTTTACATCAGTGTGTTCCGCCGAACCGAACCGCCATCTCTGCGCCTCTTTTGTGTCATTTCATGCGAATCGCTTCAGCAGCTCCAGCTGTAGCATCCTCTGGGTTGATGTTTACGTGTAAGTGAAGGATTATGGGAGTTGTAGTTTCATTAGCTGACGAAAAGGCTACGTCTTAGTAACCATTCAAAATAAAGGTCACCATTAAAAAACACAATAAACACATAAAACGTATTAAAAATAGACAAATAAAAAAAATAAACACGTTAACCGGTCTTACAAAATTTGCTGTTGTACATACAAAAATACATTCATTAACAAACCCCCCCAAAAATACATTTCAACTATGTACATATTTTGTGCTTAAATAAATAAATAAAATAGATCGTTTTATCATTCATTCAAGTGCAGTCGAAGACAGTCGGGCAGTTGTTGACGCTTTGTGATATTTTTGTAATAGTTTAACGAAACCTTTATTTTGAAATATCGTTTTAAAATACTCTCATTCGATTGGCCCTCCGCGCTCTCCGTATGTTTTCGAGCTGTCATGTGAATCCAGTGATTGCCAAAACGTTTAGAGAAAACTGACTTTATCAAATGAACATTTGTTATTTTCGATTATAATAAATAGCCAAAATGCTCTCCCGTTTATTAAAAGAACACCAAGCGAAACAAAACGAAAGGAAAGAGCAACAAGGTATGTGTTTCTGTAGATCTCTAGCGACTAGCTCTGACAGCTAGGCCCTTTGATATAATTCAAATGCAAAGATAAAGACGCATCTTAATATTTGTCTGTTAAATGTATTTAAGAAAAGATGGAGTTGTGACATTGCAATAAATAATAAAATTTCATTTTCATTCGAGTCGCAAATTGAGTAATTTCCTGTTTAATTTAGTCACAAACACTGCTTGTATTTTATGTATAACTACAGAAATAAGTAAACGTAAGAATAAAAAAACGAATAAATTATTATTAAGCAAAGATTGGTGTACACACACACACACACACACACACACACACATATAATATAAAATATATATAAATAATTATATAATTATATTTTCATTACTTGAAATTTCCTGTCAACCACCCAAAACAAATTCGATCAACTTCAAAATAAAGTGAATGAGTCTATACAAATCAAGTGAAATGAAATCATTGCTTTTTCTTGATCAAATGCTTCTATGCGGTACAGAAAGACGAAGGCGAGAGGCCATAGCAGCTGCAACATGTTTAACAGAAGCTCTGGTGGACCATCTCAATGTAGGGTGAGTCGGACAGGTTTTATATGTTTGTGAAGGTGCGCAAGATTATATGGTCAATTCATGTGATCACTTGGGTCATAATCCCAGTCTTTGTGTGGACGTTATGATGAAACTCTGCGAAAGCAGCTTAGAGTTGCATGGTTGGATGCAACACAACATTGTTCTTGCAACAGACAAATTAATGCTAAGAGCGCTGGAATGGAAACTGAATATTTCACCAAAAACTGAAAATTTTGCTGAAAATTAACTCTCAGGCCATCCAAGATGTAGATGAGTTTCTTTCTTTATCAGAACAGATCTGGAGAAATGTAGCATTACATCACTTGATCCTCTGCAGTGAATGGGTGCCGTCAGAATGAGAGTCCAAACAGCTGATAAAAAACATCACAATAATCCACAACACTCCAGTCCCTCAATTAATGTCTTATGAAGTGAAAAGTTGCATGTTTTTAAGAAACAAATCCATGGATTTCTTCACTGGAGGAAATGTTATTATGAATTATGGACTCGTATTTTGGCCCGAAGCAATGGATTGAAGTTAAAAACGTCTTGATGGATTTGTTTCTTAAAAACATGCAGCTTTTTCATTTCAGAAGACATTAATTGATGGACTGGAGGGCTGTGGATTACTTGTGGATTATTGTGATGTTTTTATCAGCTGTTTGGACTCTCATGCTGACGGCACCCATTCACTGCAGAGGATCAAGTGACGTAATGCTAAATTTCTCCAAATTTGTTCCCAAGAAGAAACAAACTCATCTACATCTTGAATAGCCTGAGGGTGAGAAAATATTCAGCAGATTTTCATTTTTGGGTGAACTATTCCTTTAAGACATTGTAGAGTATAAGTATCTCTGTTCAGGGTGGCGCAGGCGTACGTCAACCAGCGCAAGCTGGACCATGAGGTGAAGACGCTGCAGGTTCAGGCCAGTCAGTTTGCCAAGCAGACGGCTCAGTGGATCAACATGGTGGAGAACTTCAACCAGGCCTTAAAAGTACACAAGCTTTTTTTAAATATTGATTAATGCGGGATTGAAATGATGGCTAATTTAATGTTGCTTTTGGTGAAATGTGCAGATTTAATGGCAGATTATTCCTTTACAGGAAATCGGAGATGTGGAGAACTGGGCGCGAAGTATTGAGATGGACATGCGGACAATCGCGACAGCTCTGGAGTATGTGCACAAAGGCCCGGCTCAGCACACGTCTTCATGAGCAGATGGACTCTGATGGTCCAAAATGGACAGAAAAGCTGAGGCTTTTCCTCCAGATGTTGGTGAAACTTGGACACTGTGATTTGAGACATTTGTGTCTCATTTATTCCAGTGAAGAATTGCTGGAACAGCTGTTTATTTCTGATTTGTTTTATTTTTATTTTCGTTTTACATAATATTAATATGGTTGCATAATAAAAAATATCTATTTTGCCATAAATTGGAATTTTTTATATCACATTTTACCCCCATAAGTTCCCTTGTACAGATTCGCTGTCCTGCTTCTAACTTTGACCAGCATTTAACAAGTGTTTTCCATTCAGCCTCAGTAATGAACGTATAGTACCAGAATTACACATTTTCCCTGCCCCTTTTTAGCTTTTATAGACGTAACAGTGAGCTGAAATAGATTTTATACGTTTTTGTGGGATTTCACGGTTTGTTAATTTTTACTTAACCCATGTTAAGCCGTGCACACACTGTGACGCTACATAATCCACATATACAACAAGATCTTTCAGCCTCAGGATTAACATTAGGAGAAAGAGTAAAACGTTAAACTAAGACAACGAAAAGAAAGAGTAGAATGTGGCTGCTTTAAGTCCAGATTTCACATGTTTGCCCCATGGGACTGCATAAGATTTTTAGCTTGATTTTCTAGTTGTTGTTTTAGGTCTTCAAGACCCTTTTTATCATGATTTTTAAGCATATATAATTTTGAAACTCATATGGAATATATATATATATATATATATATATTAGGGGTGTAACGGTTCAAGTTTCTCTAGCGTTTTGGCTGTGTGGTTGCAGAAAGATGCACGGACGCAGACACAACAGCAACGCCTGTGCTGTGCAATAGTGAAAGTTGAACAAAACATATCATCCATAACCTTTTTTAGAACTGAGATTATTTGCGGTACAAATGCGTACCGAACCGAGGGTGGCGAACGGTATGGTTCAGTCTTTTACAGAGAACAGTTGCACCCCTAAAATATATATATATATATATATCAATATATCAGAGTTATCAGTCTAAAACCATAAAATTAAACCAGGTTAAACAACCTAAAATCATTAAAAAAAAATCCTTACTTGAAATAAAAGCTGAAATAAAAACAACAACAACAAAAAACTAATTATAACTTATTTTATTTCAGCTAATTTTCTAATTTTTATTTAGTTCAACTTGATGTACTAAAATAAAAATGAAATGAAAATATAATAAAAAACTACTAAATAAACTAATAAAAATCACAAAAACACGTATTACGAAAACGTTAACTAAACGTAAACTTAAAATGTATAAAAATACTGATAAAAACTATTATCTTAGATCCATATGATAAATTATTTTTATATATTTCAATAAAAATAATTTCTATATTGTGTAATATTATTAATTACATTTGTATTTCTATATAATTGTATATTCTAATTTCTATTATTATTATTAATATTTTATACGTACTAATATTCCATGTAGTCTTTCCATTATTATGAGGTCTTCACGTATAATCATTTGAACAAAAATAGAAATGGTTTAAAACTGCTGTAAACAAAAATGTCGCATTAATGTCGCATCACTGGACGCTCCTGTCATTGCTTGAAGTTTCCCGTCAACCTCCCAAAAACGAATTCAAACAACCTAAAAATAAAACGAATTGGCATGATTCTCCTTAAAAGTTCCTCCCAGCCCAGCTATTTGTGGATGACGCTTACACAAGCACACAAAAATGCCCAAACGCCAATCCAGTGAGATTGGAGATTAGAAATTGCGGCCCTGTCTGAGAGGATCAGCTTTAGGGATAAATCTGAGCCGCAGACCCACTTCAGATCACTTACCAAACGCACTCAGGACCTCCAGCTCCAGAGCCAAGAAGGGAAAAAAGTAAGTCTGATAATTGACTACTTTAACTGATAACAGAATTTCTTATTTTTACAATGTGAATTAACATTTACTTAAATGTGTATGTTTAAATAAGTATACATTTATAGTATTAAAAAGAGTATTAATTGGTTTTAGATTCTCTTTTAAAATTACAATGTTTTACTAAACATTTTTTACTTGCGAACATGTAAAATGTATTCATTTTGAATTATTAATCAGGTTAATTTGAGTAATAATTTGATGTCCTATGGTTTTTATTGTCACAAGGTAATTTCTTTAACGTATGTTGATAAGGGTCTTCAGTTTAGTAACATTTTCTTATATTTTGGACTATGGTATGATTGGTTTAGAAGTTTAAGTTAATAATAATTACAATTCTTTAGCAATTTTGTCACATAATCTAAAAAATAATTGTAAAATATTGTATACATACACTTTTATGCATTTATTATCGGAAAGCACATTAATCATTCTTTGATAAAAGCCTTTTCTAAAAGCACGTTTGTTTGATAATTAATTAGCATACATTCCTCAAAGCATAATGTGCAAATAGGGTCTTAAATGGTTTGTTTAGTCCGATTTGAGATGAATCTTCAACCTTTTTCTTTGCTAATTAGTCCCTGTAGCTAATAGGTTTTGAGCTTTGAGAAGCTTTAGTGCTTCTGTGGTGCTGGATTTTCAATTTTACAGCATTCTCTAAACCTTTACATTGATGCCCAAGTCTCCCTTTGTTTCATAAGAGCCTTAGCTCAAGATTTCTCATGTGCTCTGAAAAACGACAGTGTTACGTATGTTAGCGCCCTGTGACTACATAATCTAAAACCAAAGAAAAGCTGTGAACATGGGTCAATAATGTTCAATAAGCATGAAAATACCATATTACGTCGTTTTATTTAAATATTTAAAGAAGTTTTTATATGTTTTATATAAGTTCACAATACCTTTTTGAACTGGTGTTTGTTAGATTATGGTGCCCCCTGTGGTGATTTAAGGAATTGCACTCTGACGCTTCATAATTACGCCAGCATTGTGTTTTTTCTTTCTTTTATGTCATTGGCATTCTACCAAAAAGCAATTGTTTACTAAACATCTTCGCAGAATCACTCAGGGGGCAGAAACGATGTACGAGTACTTGAGGTAAGAATGTGTCTGACTAAAATACTATCAAAACAAGCAAATAAACCAACAAAACTCATAAATATGTCAATTTTGTATGCATTTTGTGCTTACAGTAACAACTGTACATGCACATACGTCTTGGGTGCCTTCGTGCTGCTGTGGGTTCTGGTGTGGTTCTACCGGGACAACCTAGAGATCACCAAGGTCTCGGAGAAACACGTTTTTGTGACAGGTTGCGACTCTGGGTTCGGACACCTACTGTGCAAACGCCTGGACAAACGTGGTTTCCGTGTCCTAGCCGGGTGTCTCACGGAAAAAGGAGCAGATGATCTGAAGAGGGCGACGGGACCTTTCCTGAAGACCTGCATCTTGGACGTGACCAGCACAGCCAGCATTCAGAAGGCTTTGGAATGGACCAAAAAAGAAGTTTTAAAATGTGCCTTGAAAATGCATCACCAGTTTGTGCCCGTTGGTCATCTAATGTAGATGTGTTGCTAGAGTGGCCTTTGGTGTTATATTTGTATGAAACGGTCAGAGTTACTGCTAATTAAGTTCATATAACTGTATAAACATAATTCAATAAATGTTATAAGAATATTTTCTATGCACTGCCATCTGTGCACCAATCTCTTCCCAGAAAGAAAAAAAAACCCTGCTTAAAATCAGCATATATGCTGGTTTACTGGTTCTAGCTGAACTCGCATAAAACCATCTTTGACTGGTTTTTGTTGTTGTGTTTTTTCAATACTGTACTTTGAAGGTCATGATCTTCCACCTTTTGGTGAGTTGAGACAATTTAACAATAAATACTTCTTAGTAAACAAGAATTATTCATTAACAGTTTGTCCCATGACGAAGGGATTATTAAACCGTTGTCACGGTGTGTGCGGGGAGATGAAGCGAGGACTCAATTGCAGGAGAAATGGTTATTTATTTTGATAATAAAAATGAAACAAAAACAAACTCAAACCACCCCGAAGGGGAAAAACAGACAGGCAGGCCTATAGCTGCACCACATGCAGACACGAAACACACACAATGAGAAATGACGGATCAGCACAGGATGACAGACACAAGGAGAATAAATGGGAACCAAACGAGGAGGCTAACGAGGGAGACACAGGTGGATCAACTTAAACTATAACGAGGTAACAAGATGGGAGGGGCAAGACAATAGACAGGAGAGAGCACATGGCGACAGACAAACACAACACAAGCCATGTGCTCCCAGAACACAGTCATCTGGTGGCCCTCCTGGGCACACCCGCTGCAGACTGCGACAACCGTTTTCCCTGACCTGATTCTTAAGTTATCAAAAGTCGCGCATGAGAGAACCCAGTAGATCGATTATCTCTTGGTCACGTCATCGAAAAGAGCTGTTCCGACACTTACAATATAAAAAACCATTAAATATACACACTTCATATTTTATAGAGAAGACTACCTAGATAGCACACGTACGTCTGCAAGAGATCTGTTAAAGATCGCTTCATCTGGAAAGCATCTGCTGTGAACAAACATCTGACAGACGTCTTTAAGATGTCAGTTTTACATACATTCTAAATCATAAACATCTTAAAGACATCTTCTAAATGTCTATTTGACATCTGATAGGAAATGTCCTATAGACTTATATGAGCAAATGTAAACCATGATGTAAACCCTGATAGCACATGTACGTCTCGGAGACAACGTTGGATTTTGTCTTATGAGATACTGGAAAATGATTTCTTTCAGGACCCTACGACTGACTAATGTCGGAGTTATTGGCTTACTGGCGAAACACATCGCAAAAAGCAGCTCAGCGTGTCACAATGTGGTGAGAAGGACGTTCAGTTTATCTTCGCGGATTCACGCGAGCCAAGAATTTATCGCTCCTGCTTCCGCGGAACAACCTACATCAAAAAAGTGAGTCACTTCTACAATAAATGAAATAGTATATAAAAATAGTAATGTATAATAAAAATGTTTGATAAAATTCTTATAAACTAAAATACAATATGTTTGGTGTTAGTAGCCTATGTGTAATTTTATTTGATTAAAGCAGACACGTGACCAGTCTGTTTTGTGGACTAGAGGACATGCTTTTCTACACTATAACTGAGGGAGCAGAGAAAGTTCCTGTGTCTCATTTCATTTCTGTGAGTTTATTCATTGACACATACATACAGAATCATATCCAATAAAGGTTAACTAGGCCTGTCGCAATAATCAATATATCGACTTATCGCGCAATATATGTACATGACCTCAATAATTTTTGGCGACGCAATATATCGCCCATTATATTTACTTAAAAATGTATGTCACCATGTTTTGTACATTCCACTTGCACCTGTGTCTTTTGCAGCTTCTCGTACATATAACGTAGTCATGAGGTGCTAGTTCAAATTTAAAAAATGCTTCTACAAACAAAGTTTCATCTGAAGATATGACCTTGTTTAGGGATCTGTGCACACGGACATCTGACTGCTAGGTAGTGATTGTGTTTTTCAGCAAAAGTGTGCACCCTTCATTTACAGAGAAAAGAAGGTAAGGGAAACATCTGTAGATGGAAAAATCTCCATACGAGTTCCTTATATATTCAGTGGCATAAAATGGTCTTTAAAATGACAATAATATCACTTATCGCAATTATCTCTGGGGCAATATATCGCACAACAAAAAGTTGTTATCGTGACAGGCCTAGGTTTAACAAGATTTAAAATTCTTTGCACTAGCAGTTTTCCAAGTCTATATATATATGTATGGGCAACAGCTGGGAGCTGCTACATTTACTCAGTTGCATATTATAGGCTCAGTTACTATCAACGCCCTACATGTTTCTTCTGAAATCTGATTCGGTCATGAGAAGTCCGGACCAAAACACACAAACGTTTATCTAGACTTTGTGGAACTGGTTTGTGTCATCGTTTATGTAATCATTTATAAGTAAAGTCAATAAACAGTATAGTATAATTGAAATTTATTTATTTTTATTAGATAAAACCTTATACAGCTTGCCAGCATATCGAATTTATGTTTGATTATTGTATATTTATAGTCTTGTTTTGTTTACATTTATATACACTAGTGTTTAATTAATGTTTGCACAACAAATGCATTGCACAATGGCATTACACAAAGTAAACTGAATGGTTGTGAAAAGACAGAATGGTATTTTCCCCATCTTACAGGCAGTGAAAAGCACTGGCCTACTGACCTCTGACCCCAGATTACGGGACTGCATGGAAAAGATTCGCGAAGCTGTCCGGGAATCAGCCGGTGAAGTCATGATGGACCTTGAGCTGTTCCGAAAGTGAGTATTCAGGCAATGCAGATTTCCAAACTTCCTGCAGATGAGGAATATTTGGTAGTTTACTAATTGCGAAAATGTCTAACATCAAAACAGGTGTGTGGGTGGCAACATAGTCCTGCTGAGTCTCGCTTTCAGACGGAAGTTTATCATTCCAGAATTTGAGGCATTTGTGGGCATTATCAATCATATTTACTACACATCAAAACTCCAACACGATGGACAGGTAGAAACCATATTTTCAATCCATTTTCCTTACTTATTTGTGAAGTTGGACTCACTTAGAATCTTTTTCAGGTTGCAAAATACATTCCCCATCTGACCAAGTTTAGTCCTGATCTTTGGGGCGTCTCTCTCTGCACAGTGGATGGACAAAGGTAAATAGATAAATCTGACCCCAACTTTTCTAAAATATGCAGTGATGGTTTTTAAATCACCTCTTGGAATTCAGACACTCAGTGGGAGACACAAAGGTGCCGTTCTGCTTGCAGTCGTGCGTGAAGCCGCTGGAATATGCCATCGCTGTACACGAACACGGCACAGAGCGTGTGCACCACTACGTTGGGAAGGAGCCCAGTGGATTCAAATTCAACAAACTCTCCCTGGATGAAGAAGGTGGGTGGGAAAATGTCATAGATTATCATTATCAAACGAGTTGTGTAGAATATCTTATCAGACAGAACGTTTCTGTACTGAGAATAATCTCATTAGAAAAAAAAAATCAAAATAAATGTATTATTCTAATATATTTAAAAAGCAATAATGACTTAAAAATGAATAATAATTTATTTTAATTTAATTTAAATAATTAAATGAGCTGATGCTGTTTTTCTGTTCTTAGATAAACCTCACAATCCCATGGTCAATATGAACTGAAGAGACTTCTTTAAAGCACTTACTGTTTAAAAAAAAAAACACTTACTCTTACTGATCTCAAACTTTTGAACTTAAAAATTTTTTTTTTTTTTTTTTTTTTGGGGGGAATTTGTATATAAATATTTTCTGGTGAATTTGAGTTTGGTGTCAAGTTGGTTTGCGTTAACAGTATTTGCTTGTTTTCTGATAATCAGCTCTGCACGACTCCCTAACCAGCACTGATATATGCACATGTATTGACATGCGGACTGGGCCAAGATTTAATTTGATCTAACAAACCTTTGACCCAGAATTCAGCTCTGTGTGGACAGACCCAGTGCATCTGTTACACGTGTAGCAGACTGACCTTGTGAAGCTATGAGCGGGAGTATTACTGGTCTGGACTGAATCCAGTCTATTAAAAGTTCCCTTTACACTAGGTGTATGTGACTTGTGTTTTCTAGGTTCCCAGAGTTCTTCAATACAAGCTAGAATACGCAAAAGTATTCGGATGGTAAATTGTACTGTTGTTTTTCTCATTTTCTACAGCCAGGTGTCAACAAGGCCGAGAAGTTTGACTATGTAAGTTATAACATGTTGGATGTTGCCATTTGAAGAAAAAAACAAAAGAAAAAAACTAGTGCATACGGCTTTTCAGCTATATTATAAAAGTCACAGAGTATCTTTGTATTAGGAAAAGACTGGAATTAGTTATTTACCAAAGGTGTTATTCCTTGAAAATATATGCCTTTTTGGGTATATATATTGCCGTTAACCCAAAATGGACCAAATGTGATTTCAAAATCTTGACTGTTAGCTAATGACTGTTTGGGTCTCTTTCACAGGTGATGGAGTTTGTGAAGAAAATGACAGGCAGGGAGTATGTGGGCTTCAGCAACGCAACGTATGTCTTTCATTGTTCAGTTTACACTTGTTTTGCACCCAATGCTATTGTTATTGACTTGTTTTCATTTCACCAGGTTTCAGTCTGAGAAGGAAACAGGAGACAGAAACTACGCAATAGGATACTACCTAAAAGAGAAGAAGGTTTGTTCATTAGCATCTTTAGCAAACTAGCAAGATATTGTTGATTGTCTGCAAAAACAACCATGATGTCCTCCTTTACAGTGTTTTCCTGAAGGGGCGGATATGATAGACGCACTGGACTTTTATTTCCAGGTAGGCCCAGTTGACATTTTTCCATTGTTAAATCGAACGCTAAATAAACTGAACGCTCCATCAGAATTTCCTTTCTGTCCCTCATAGTTGTGCGCCATAGAGGTCACATGTGAATCTGGCAGCATAATGGCCGCTACACTGGCTAATGGAGGCATCTGTCCAATCACAGGAGAGAGAGTTCTGAGCACAGAAGCCGTACGAAACACGCTGAGTCTCATGCACTCCTGCGGGATGTACGACTACTCTGGACAGTTCGCTTTCCACGTGAGTACAAGGATTGTCTCTATACACTGTCTGTCTTTATATGTAGTCAGAGTGTGAATTATAATGCTTTGAATCTAGCGAACTTACATTTAAAAGAATTTTTATAAAAAATTGCTTATTTAAAATTTTCATTAAAAACAAGACAAAACAGTAAATGTAAGTTTTTGCACAACCCTTGTTATTATACGACTTTCAATCTAGTCAATGTATTTTAAAAAATAATTTTTATTAAAAAGTGCTTATTTAAGATTAGTTATTAAAATCATTACTAATTGAAACGGAAATTTAGTTGTGCAGTCTGTTGAGGTAATACATATATGTTAAATACCGGAAAGCTTCAAAAAACATTTAATCAGTATGATATTAAGGACTTTTCTGCTAGCTTCTTGTAGTAAATTGTAATTAATTTTGTCATACTTACACTTGTAGTAGTAATAAACCATAGGTCTTTATATCGCAATACATGGTAGGTTGGATTACCTGCTAAATCCGGTGTGTCTGGTGCAGTTCTTCTTGTGGTGCCGAATGTGATGGGTGTCATGTGTTGGTCGCCCCCTGTGGACAAAGTTGGGAACAGCGTCCGTGGAATCCACTTCTGTCAGGTGTTTCAGGCATCGTCCTGTTAGTTTATCGCTCTCTTTTTAATTCAAGTTTAAATAACTAATTTTGTAACCCTTCCATAATTAGGAACTGGTGTCTTTGTTCAACTTTCACAATTACGACAATCTGAGGCACTTTTTGAAGAAGCAGGACCCTCGCAGACTTTCTGATGATGACAGGGTAAATCTTAAATTTGAAAAACAGCTTTCACATCAACCAAATGAACTAAACTCTGCTGTTAAACTCCAAAACTTGTGAAAATACCCTACATTAAGCTATTTTTTTAGACCAGTAATTATAGTTCCAATAGCAATGAACTCACCAAATCTTTATTCGGTGTTATAGAATAAGTCAGTGGTGAATCTGATGTTTGCAGCCCACAGTGGAGATGTCTCAGCTCTGAGAAGGTCATTTTATACAGTTTATGTCTTTATTACTCCATATTTTTGAGTGCTACTGAAATATAGATTACTTACTGCCCTCTTCCTCCATTGTTCCTCAGGTTTGCCCTTTCATCCATGGATATGGATCTGAAGGACTATGACTCTCGTACACCTCTTCATGTAGCTGCTGCAGAGGGTAAAATCGTTTTCTGTAAACTTAAAAGAATCTTTTAGTCCCAAACATGATTTGTTTAATCATAAGTTTAATTTGTCATCTGTTTTTCCTCTGTTTTAGGTCACATGGATGTTGTGCTATTTCTGATGCAGTCCTGCAAAGTCAACCCTTTTGTGAAAGACCGGTACAGAGCCCTGTTTCTTTATACGGTTACCTTCAGCTTCATCCGTTTGGTGATCATTAACCTCATATCTCTTATTCAGGTGGGGAAATATTCCTCGGGACGATGCCATGCAGTTCGGCCATGAGGATTTGGTGAAGATCTTGGAAGAATATGAGCAGAAATACATTCAAACATCTCAGACTGACGCAGAAGACCGTAGTCATCAATCCAAATGTTCGTCTCTGGAGGGACGAGTGTGATCTGCTGTGAATGTAACCAACTTTAGGAATACAGATCATGTCATCAGATATTAAGAAAATAAGAGCACATTTACGGAAATATCTCTCTACAGAGATATGTTATGCTACAGAGATAGGCTATGTTTTTTTGTTTTTTTTAATTTTTTGTCATTTTGATGTGTAAATATGAGATTTTTGTACATAATTTGTGTTACATATTTTTTTTTTTTAGCTTGGCATATTCTCTTGGAAGCTGTCTTGGTGTTATATATACAGTATATATATATATATATATATATATATATATATATATATACACACAGTATAAAGAGAGTAAAGTATTTGTGACTAATAAACAAAACCAACCATGCCAACAGATTCTTAAGCTTACATATGTTTATGAAGCCACAATATAGAAACATTTTAAAAAGAGGTTTGCAACTATGTTCAAATATTGTAATTTAAACAACATAAATAGTGTTTTCACTGAAGTGTAAAGTATATACAATTCGCTATTATAATGCCTTCTATATGTAAAATATAAATCTATAACCCAACAACCATCTAGAACAACCTAGTGACTACACAAATATATAATTAAAAAGAACCCTGATTCGGTCAGAACACATTAGCACTATTATGATGCCAAATGTTGTTGAGAAGCATTTTAGTACATCAAGGTGGATCTGATTCAAACTAGATGTATCGAAGACTGATGTGGAAGAGAAGAAATTGTTGAATAAAGTCATTATTTTTGTTTTCTTAGTGCACAAAAAGTATTCTCGTAGCTTCATGAAATTAATGTTGAACCATGGACTATTTTAACGATGTCCTTACTACCTTTCTGGGCCTTGAATGTAGTAGTTGCGTTGCTGTCTATGCAGGGTCAGAAAGCTCTCGGATTTCATCAAAAATATCATATTTTGTGTTCTGAAGATGAACGAAGGTCGTATGGGTTTGGAACGACATGAGTGTCAGCAATTAATGACAGAATTTTATTTTTTTTGGTGAACTATCCCTTTAAGTCCCTTTCTCACTATTGCCCTCTACTGGAGAAACGATATAACCTTTAACACAATTAGCATGAAGTGGAAAGTGGTCTTGTGGACAGAAGGTCTATGAGAGAGCTCTAACCACAGTGCTGGAGATGCTCTTCGGCCTCGCACGCACTAGAAACTTCTCACGAATCTTTATCTGCCCACAAAGCCAATGCTGACGTTGTTGTGCTTAGCAACAAAAATACATCTGATGCTTATTTTAACACACTTTGGTGTGTCAAATATTAGATTATAACCAAGGGATATTTTAAAATATATTAATCACTCAGACTAAACTGTGAATTGTATTTTTACAACATGAAAAAAAAGATGTTTAACCTCAGAAGGCTATTGTTACATTGAACCATATTTAAACAACCAGTATGCTAAAAACCAATGTGTTCTGGACTCTAAAAAGAAATGAAGTCCATTTTGGTCAACTCTGACTGATACTTCCTCATAACAAGATGAGCGGTCATTGGCTGAATCTTTACCGCATACCCTGTTTGTGAACTGAAACCTCAGTAACACCAGTTGCACTTCTAAGATGCTCACATTCAAGTGCCGTTTAATCTTGCTCTTCATTTGTGTGGAAGGTAAGATGTGTATTGCTACTTATGTATTTGATTCATATGTTTTTGTAAATGCTTGGTGAGATTTAAAAAAAAAAAATGTAAAGGTTTTCAAGAGTCACTAAGCATCAATGGTTGTCACTAGCTCAAATGATCCAATAATTTGCCTGTTTGACTGATATGTGCCAAAACACAAATTATTGTATAAGGGTTAACTTTAAATTACTGAATACAACTCATCTAATCATTATAGAGACATTCATGGGCCAATAACCAACAGTGGAAAGAAACCACATCCTGTCATATCTCTATGTGCTAAATCTTTTTAATATAAATATGCTAAATGATACATTTTTGAAGGTTTTTCAAGATGTTGTTATGAATGTGTTTCAGATGTGTTTGGTGGTGATACAGATGTAATGAAGTCAGTGTCAGTAACTGAGGGAGATTCTGTCACTCTAAACACTGATGTTACTGAAGTACAGAGAGATGATCAGATACTGTGGATGTTTGGACCTAAAGAGAATCGAATAGCTGAAATCTATAAACAGACGATTGATATGTTTAGCAGTAATGAGACATTTGGAGACAGACTGCAGTTGGACTCTTTCACTGGATCCCTGAACATCAGAAACATCAGAAGCACAGACTCTGGACTTTATAAACTACAGATCCGCAGCAACAGAGGGAACTCGGACAAGACATTCAATGTTACTGTCTATGGTGAGACAAATATGACTTAAAATCGTATATGTATAAATGGATGTGATGCTTAGAATTGTTACAAATAAAATGTATTTCACATCTACTTGTATTTCATGCCAGCAAACTATAGTCCAGTGCCCTTTCTTAATGAATTCATCTTTCTTAAAACAAATATGTAATGCAGACTTTATGTGCTTTGTTGGATCTTCTTGTCCATCAATGGTGGTAATATTGTGTAGTTCAATTCTGGTGTCTGTGGTATTAATATTATTATAAACATCCACTGCATAGGGAAATGCAGGGAAATATCCTACTTTCCCTTTTGTCTGAGTTTTTCCATGTTACGGCAATATACTTATATATATACTTATATATTTATTTACATGTTTTCCAGCTCGTCTGCCTGTTCCTGTCATTACCACAGACTATTTTCCCTCCTCCTCCTCCTCATCAGAATCCTCAGTGTCCACATGTGCACTGCTGTGTTCAGTGGTGAACGTGAGTCATGTGACTCTCTCCTGGTACAAAGGAAACAGTTTATTGTCCAGCATCAGTGTGTCTGATCTCAGCATCAGTCTCTCTCTACCTCTGGAGGTGGAATATCAGGATAAAAACACCTACAGTGTTAAGTCAAAGTGCTTTACATAAAAGTAAAAAAAATCACAATAATAAAAGCAAGGAATTAAATTCTAAAATGATTTAAAAAAATGGATTTAAAATGAAATTAAAAGAAAATGAAGATACATAAAATACACTGCAATCAGTTCGGACGCAGCACAGTGCTCATTCAGTAAAAGCACTAAACAGATTAAAAGCAAACGAAACAGATGTGTTTTGAGTCTATATTTAAATGTAGCTACTGATTTAGCACATCTGATTTCTTCTGGAAGCTGATTCCAACTGCGGACGGCATAATAACTAAAAGCGGACTCCCCTTGTTTTGTGTGAACCCTTGGTATTTCTAACTGACTCGATCCTAATGATTTGAGTGGTCTGTTAGGTTTATATTCAGTGAGCATATCTGCAATGTATTGAGGTCCTAGGCCATTGAGTGATTTATAAACGAGTAATAATACATTAAAATCAATCTAAAATGTAACTGGAAGCCAGTGTAAAGACCTGAGGACTGGTGTGATATGCTCAGATTTTCTGGTTCTAGTCAGAATTCTGGCAGCAACGTTCTGGATGAGCTGCAGCTGTCTAATGGTCTTTTTGAGAAGGCTGATGAGGAGACCATTACAATAGTCCACCCTGCTGGTGATAAAGTCAACAAGTTTCTCCAAGTGGAAGAAAAACGACCTTTTCAATAATCTTGCCTATAAAAGGAAGATTTGATATTGGTCTATAGTTGCTCAATATGGTATTATCCAGATTGCTCTTTTTATGGAGGGGCTTAACAACTGCAGTTTTCAGGGAGTTTGGAAAAGTCCCAGAAAGAAGTGAGGTGTTTACCACTTCTAAGAGATCGGTTTTTAAACAGTTAAACACACCTTTAAAAAAAGATGTGGGAAGTGTGTCAAGGTAACAGGTTGACGATTTAAGATGCTGTACTATTTCTTACAAAAGTTTGCTATCAATTGCTTCAAAAAAAGACATAGTAACTTCTTTTTGAGATTGTGGTCAAATCTGTCTCACCTCTGCATAAATTGAGGATGTGCTAATCGCCTTCCTGATATTATTGATCTTCGCAGAAAAGAAGGAAGCAAACTCATTGCATTTGCTGTCGGAGAGCATTTCACTGGCAATCTGACTTGGGGGGTTTGTCAGTCTCTCAACAGTAGCAAAAAGAGTGCGAGTGTTGTTTAAGTTACTGTTTATAAGGTTTGAGAAGAAGGTCTGTCTGGCTGTGGCTAGCTCCACATTGAAAGCACGAAGGCTGTCTTAATAGATGCTATAAAGAATTTCAAGTTTCGTCTTC